CCCCTAGCAGCTCTCTGTCCTTACAGATACAGTGTCATATGAAGGGGATGGCTTTCGACTCTTCTGTTTTGATCATTTAATGGCTCAAATGACTCACACTTGACTCACATTTCATAACAGTTTCTAAGTAAAGAAAGCTGCTTGCCATCCATCGCTCTAAGTAGCCTCTTTCCAGGAATCAAATGATTCAAGAGGAAGGGACTGCTGCTTCCCCGTCTCACTGTCCAACCGAAGCACATGTTGCCATTCTTACACAGAAGGGAGCTCTGCTAAGGATTCCGACCAAATGCAACTCGTGCCACCAACAGTATTTTTGTGATCTACCTACTATGGGGCTGAAAAATGAAGGTGGAAATAAGCCCATCTATAGACAAGTATTAGAATTTAAAAATAACTTAAAAGGTATGTCTAATGCTCTACAATGGATATGAATTTGACAACTGTCCCTTGACTTTGAAAACTGCCCCTAAGAGGTGAACGCTAATAAATTAATCTAGCCCTGAATCTGACTTGTCTCAAAAGGGTCAGCTTCAAGAAACCACCAGCTCACGCAGCTGGCAAAGTGTGCGTTTGGTTGTGGGTGTATTTTTGGTGATCCAGTCTGAGTGCTTTGACTCCCAGCAGGTCTTTCGCAGACATCCTGGAGAAAGCCACGTGGGTGACTCCGAGAAGACAATATGCATCAGGACCATTGCTAATGATGCTGTTACCCGGGAGAGGATATGGACTTGTTTGCATTCATTTTCATGGTCCAACACCATGGTCCTGGCAAAAAACCGTGGACACGAGGTAAAGTGCGTCACATAAATAAAAAGGCAGGGATGGGCCAGTAAGTTATTTTAAGGTATCTTTAAATATAAATCGAGCCCCATAGGCAGAAAAGTCATCACTGGCACAATTTAAACATGATTAAGACTTGCAGTCAAAACCCCAGTAACAAAAATGGGGATTTTTTGGTTGTATCCAAGATAAGAAGAGCATATTAAACAGAATTTTGTGACTTTAAATTTCCCCTTGAAGTGAGCTTAAAACTGGCATAATTTCGATACCAAAATTAAGTTTGAATAACCAATACAAAAACCAGAACTGGAACTTTTTTTTTTTTTCTAAAACAGAATCCCAAATCCAAAACAACTTATATAAGGGATGCAGGTAACAGAAAAAGAGTCAAATAAAACAACAATGGTTCCTGAATTTAAAGGAAGGATGCCCACTTCGCTCTCTCAAGAGGCAGATGGTCAGCTGAAAAATAAAAACATTGTATCAATAGAACACTCCAAAGAAAAAAATTGCAGCCATCTCTGTACATGCAATATCAAACGTTAAAAAAAAAAAAATCCCAAACACCAAAACAACCCACAAAACTAAGAGAAGGAGGGAAAATGTTGCCCAGATCTTAGGACCTGATGATTGTTGAGGGTCCTGGGCAGGCTGCTCAAAATGCTGCTCACAGGACAGAGGACGGGAGTGACCATGAGATCAAGTTTGTGGGCCCTGGGGTGGTGGCCACCTCAGGTGAGGGGACATGCTGTCTTCAGTCCATGAGATCTTGGATCAGCAGCTTCGAGAACATGACAGCTAAGCAAGAGGGTCCCAGCACAAGACCTTGGGTCTTGGCCCAAGTTCTCTGTTTCAATTAATTTCCTTTTTCCTTTTATCAATATTATTAAATATTACTATTTTTTGGTAGCGGTAAGTCACTTCAGTATCCACCATGGGCAGTGGTGTGTAAACAGACGTTGACAAGTACAAACAGCAGTGCAATATCTGACCCAGACTTTAAAGGACTAGGAGGCGATGGTGGAAATGAGGTAACTCTTCCCCAACACGAGTGAACAGACAGCTCCTGCTCTTCTAATGCGCTATGTCCATTAGGAGAGAGTAGGGCTTGTCAACGGGATGGTTACATAAAGAAGAAGCTACAGAAGAGAAAAAAGAAAGGTTCAGATTCAAATTTGATTCTTAAAGTCTTCAAAAAGAAAAAAAGAAGCTTCTCTATAGCAAACCGAAAGAACAGCAGCGTGTCAGCGAAAGCGGCGACCGCACCGAGCGCGCTGGGGGGTCAGTAGCCGCCACCAGAGCCCGGGGAAGGAGCAGAAATGGCTGGGCAGAAATGGGCGAGAGAGGGTGGCGGAGACGGGAGGTGACGTACAGGACACCACGCGGCAACTGTCTTGGAGTCGGTGCTGCCCGAGTGGCAGCGTTTGGAGCCCGCGCACGAGGCGAGAAAGCACAGGACTCCGCCCTCCCTACGTCTTTCATCCATGTGACAAGCACGTGCACACGCATGTCAAGCAGCGACTAAAAAGAACTCACAAAAGGGCACACAAAACGATGTTTGGGTAAAAATATATTTCCCCCTTTATGTCTTGGCACTAGTGATATATGCATAGGTCACCTGTCCACCGCTCTCCTACCTTAACAGACACCAAATTACCAACATGTTACCAAGTGAGTACTTTCATATTGAAAAAGTCGTATACGTCACATCGATACAATTATTTAGTTTCTTAAAAAAGACAAATGTCTAACATGCCGCTTACATATGACAATTCTGCATTAACATCGAAAGTAGATTACACAACAGGTTTAGAAAACAGTTATTTTCAAACAGCAAAATGACAAGGATCTATGACTACGGCTTAAGGCATATCAGCATATTTTAAAATTAAGAAATGGACAAAGTTCTAATGCTGTTCACAGCTTAATTTTTCAATTTATTTAAAAAATTCCTTTCATACCTACACACAAACTAGATTTTGTGGGTTGTGATTCCCACTAAAGGGTCACCACATACGTGTCCCGTCAGTGGAACCAGGACTTGTGGCAGCTGAGGCCTGACAATTCCAGACACTTGCAAATGGCAAGGCAGAGGGCGGTTTGGGCAGGACCACACGGACAGGACGACGTGGGTCAGCGACAGCTGAAACCCTGGTTCAGGAAACACTTATGTGAAGAAAGCAAGGAAACCAGGTCTGTTCATGTGAGGTGCACAGATACGCAGCGTGAGTGTCACAGCTGGTGAGTTACAAAGCAGAGAGGGAAGACCGTAAGTCACCTGTGTCCGGCATTACATTAATCCCCCCGGTGGAGATACCCTTTCTGGGCAAAACCTTCACCAATTAATGAAGAACCTAAGCTGGGAAAATAGTCTCTGAATTGCCAATAAATTCTCATAAATGCTGTTCACCACATCCTACAGCACATAAAACTGTTATGGGTGTCTAAGGCCCAGAAGCAAAAAGATGGTCATTATGTCTGAACAAAAGATGGGGGGAAAGCCAGCCAGAGCTGTCTGCCCGCCCCCACGAAAAGGTGACCACTGCCAGCAGTTAGCACCAGGGAGGGACCATTAAACTAAATAAAATCAAGTGGCTATAAAGGCAGCCTGGCATAAAAACTTCTTCCTCTTAGATTTCTCCAGTGGAAGGCAGGAGTTTCTCATTCCAGCTGGATCTACACTGCCAGAATCAAGCCCCACTGAAATATCCAACAATGTCCGTGGGTGCTGTGTAGAGCACGGGCGGGGATTGGCAATTTCTGACTTCCCCATTGAGATCAAGAAGTTGAATTTATCTGATTCTTGTGGAAAAAAAAAAAAAGTAGAAATGTGGCCATTTAGAATGTATTTAGTTGTTTGGCTTTTATTTAAAAAAAAAAAAACAAAGGCTACTCAAACCATTATCTCCCTACCCCCCTCTAAAAAACAACAAAGAAAACAATCCATCCATCCCATTTGTTTTCTCTAACTTTAAAAAGTCAGAAAGATCTCAAAGGTTTCTTGCTACTGTACTTACATGCAAAGGCGAAAGCACATCCAATTAGATTGGAGGGTACCACTTACTCCGTGCAGAGCCAAGGACTACTGTGGAAAAGGCAGACACAGAAAGAAAAAAGAAGAGCAGCAATAACAAACTAAACAGGGCCGGGCGCGTGGGAGGAAAAGGTTCAGAAGCAACACATTGGAAGAAAGAAAAAACAGCTTCTAAATGTTTCTTTTGACTCTTTATTCCCTGACTCTCCATATGGTTTATTTTGCTGTGAAAAATTTAATGCATAAAACAGCAATCAATCATCTTGGAATCAAAAAGTCAGCTGGATGCCTTTTGTTGTTAGGCTGGTTTCAGTGATGCTAGAAGCAGAATTTAAAAGTGTACTTCCTGTCACAAGGCACAAAAATGCTCACACAAACAGTGGCTGGAACAAGCGTACGACACAGAGATGCAAGCTTTGTCTGGCGCACAGCACATGGGCAAGCTCAGCCCGCGGTTGCAAGCAGCGTGCCGGCTCCTGCGTGGCGCCCCACAGCCAGCTTCGGACTAGATGGGGGGAAAAAAGCAAAAACAAAAACAAAAATACTGGTCCAGCAGCTCCTACACCTGTGGAGGCCACTACTGCTGCTGCTTCTCTTTGCTACGTCTATTCCGCCCGAGTTTGGGCTTCAATGAAACTGATCGTACTTTGCCTAATTAAGCCTTAATCAGTTCATGGAAGACCATTCCTTCTTTCCTGTAAGTATGTTGAGGACAAAAAGGAAAAAAATCTTTGTTGGAATCCAACAGAGACATTTATATATATACATATATATATATATATATGTATATATATATAAGTCTGTGTCGGAGGTCAGCACATTCTGTCCTATTTACCTCCCCTACAACTAGTGACGGCCAGAAGGAAAATGCAGAGGGGACATGGGCTCATGAGAAATGTTAACCTTTCAAGCAAGAAACAGGAGACTGCGCTTAGAAGGCTGGAGGATCTTGTTAGGGAAAAAACAGATGAAAGGATAAGCATCAGAAAGGAACAGTACAGAAAAGAGATTAAAAAGCCCTTTTCCATACAAATTAAGCACGTGGCGTGTGCCGGCAGGGCTGGCCCTAATCCTGGAGGAGCCCATGGCCTCAGACGTAAAGGGCAGACAGACAGAGCTAGTCACGCTGAGGGGAAAGGTGCGGAAAATTCCTTCAAGACAACTGGATTTGAAACTCCAGCTGTTTTATTTCTTCTTTTGATTGCCAAATATTGAAAGGAGACTAAACAAGGAAGCTGGATGTGAAAAATTTCTAGTTTCTTGACTCATTGGTTGTGTTGTTCCTTCCCATTTCCATCTTAAATTGACAAGGACTCTTCAAATGTGTGCTGCGGATGACACAGTTTACAGCAAATTTTCTATGTGCAGTGTTTGTGCAAATTTTCTCCTCTTGATTAGTGAAAAGCTTTATTAGAAGTACCGAGAGCAGTCATTAGGTCCTCCCCTCAGCCCACTGAGAGCAAATTTAGATGTGTTCATCGAAGATTTTTTATTTTAAATAGTAAGTAGGTTGTGGAAAGCCCATTATCCTTAGTAGAAGATTCTTCTACTAAAGAATGTTGTATGATCCAACCTTTGAGATCTGTCTGTGAGAGGACCGAGGATACACCAGTAAATGTGAACATAATCATAGTTTTCTTGTACCAGACGACACCAGCTTGGCCGGTATTTGAAGGTCGCTGTTCAGATGCAGTTTCCAGCCTTCAGAGGGGACAGTCTGAACAGACCCACGATCTCAGGCCAAATGTTATTGATTAAAATGAACATTTCATGCAAGCGTAAAAATCTCATATAATGCTTACCCACCATTCTGTCTACGTACAAATCTACCTTGGCTTGGGGCAAGTGGGGGGCAAAGGCAGCGAGTTTAGGGCACCGTGCGATCACGGAGATGAAATCAAGGAAATGCAAGCTGCTGTCATGGCTATTCAGGTTTTTAGTTCAGCTGCTGAGGCGGTGAGAAGTTTTCACGTCAGATGTACAGGCAGCAGTTTACCCCACTTTCCTCAGTCCAAAGCGACATACAAGTGACAGGCCCGCTTCCTGCCGCCATTCAGAACAGGCATAAAAGGCCGATCATTTACTTTCCAGAAACAAAGTCCAGCCGCACAGAGCTTTTGCTGTTATTCCCTTGTTCTATCATTTTCCACCCCCCAACAACATTCAGCAAAATGAGTTAATCGTTATTGGTGTTTGGGGAAGGGTAAAAAAAAAAACCAAACAAACAAAAACACAACTCAAGGACACAGATGGCAGAGATACAATAGTACTGCAAAAGCAGGTGAATGCGGGAACATCCTTGGCTTGCCAGGCTTTATGTGAAGCTTGCACTGCAAGTTAAAAAACAAAACAAAAAAGTTAGAAATAATAATAAATAAAAAAGAAAGGAAAATTAGGAGCGCCAGCACCAGCATTCAGCGATGGTGAATGCTCATGCAATGATTATGGGATTGGCAGAAATTAAAACCAAAAACTTGAGTAGGCTATTCTACATGACAAGCAAAAGCAAAATTTTAATATTGAATTAAAGACACATAGTTAGTTTCCATTTGTAATTCAGAATTCACAAGTGACTTCTTGAAACCACTGCATGTTCTAGTGGAAGGATTTACTGTTTGGTTTTTGTTTTCTTGAATAACACAAAACCATTATCTGTTAGGTTTGGGTATCACATTAGTTTTGAACAAGAGCTTCGTCTTCCACTTCTGAGCTGCTGAAGGAGTCAGAGAATAAATACACAATAAATGCCTTTGTACAGCTGACTTGAAGAAAAGGTGTAAAGTAGCTTGGGGACTGAAATATACACAGTGGACAGAGGACATGCTATTAATCTAGTGGGGAAGGGGGAAGAGGACAATTATTACAGGGTCACAGCTACAGCAATGCCAGGAGCTTTCCCCTCTTTCGGGTACAAAGCAATGCCAAACCCAAGATCCACATGTCTAATTTTAGGCAAGTCCAAAACATACAACTTTCTTCCTTAGCTAGAATATAAAAAAAGATGAGTGGATAGTTATGTAAACTGTGGTTATTAGATGTCAGGTGCAATTTTAAAACTTTCTTTTAGGATAGATGCATCTTAACCAGTGAGCGCCTGCTGGCGATCGTGCAGAAACGAGGAACACGCCCACGACCAGCCGGCGCGGGGCAGGGCCCCCGCCGTGGCGTGGCCGCAAACGTGGAAAGTGGCTTGGTGGCCAGAGATGGCAGAAGGTGGGGTCCAGCCCGCGGCAGTGCCAGGGTTAGTTCTGCTTTGCCTGTCATCTTAGGCGCTGTTAACACACTCTCGTGCCACTACAGGTCGAGGAGAAGGATAAAGCCTCACCTACGTTAAAAAAGGAGCGTGTCGTTGGATGAGAAAAAAGAATTAAAACTGTTAGAAAAACCGAGTCAAGCTCTGAGGCGGAGCGCGGCGGCTGCATAAGCGAGCGTCTCTGTCTTTCTCCGCTTTCCGCGCGCGCAGAGCCGGCCCGGGGCGACGAGCCGGCAGGGGAAGGAAGGGCCGCGGGGAGGGAAGGGCCGCGCTGCTCCGGCCCTGACCGCGGTCCTCTGGGTCCCCTCTGGCCACGGCTCTCCACGGCCGCTCGCAGGAACAGGGTGACTTTCATTTTTTTTTACTTGGCAACTTCAGGCCTCCAACTGGCAGTTACTTTCGTACGAGCGGGAAGTGTGGAAAAGGGCAAGAACCTAGCGAAAGTAACACCGAAAACGTGTGCCCCAGCCTGGTGACAAGTGTGAGCCGCACTAAGTCTAACGTCATGAGGAACGCGGGCGAACACGCGACGAGGCTGCGACAGTCCCCGCAGGCCGCGCAGCTCTGGAAGCAGCGGACGCCGGGAGGCCCCGGGACGGCGGGACGGCCGGAGACGCCCACGCGGGAGCCGTCGCCCGGACTTTCTGTGAAACGGAGGCACAGCGCTGATCAGCGCCTGGGATTCTCACTGCTTCAAGGCACATCTAGTATGCGTGGAGCTGGTCTTCTATAAGTAGTTTCAGTTTTAAAACTTGTACCTTCACGCACTCGAGTGCTTCAGGGCAGGAAAAACTTGACTTTGGGTCTCCTAAGCTGTGAGTCGGCAGCTCTGTTTCATTCGTGCCCGCAGACGTACGTGTACGCACACTCACATGCACTCAGACACACACGCACACATGCACGCACGCACACATAGACTCGCGCGCGCATGTACACACGCACTCACATGAACTCGCGCACACACGCACGCACTCACATGCACTCACGCACGCACACACTCGCACACTCACATGCACTCACAGATACATACACACAGACACACACATGCACTTGCGCACACACGCACGCACACATACACTCGCACACTCACAGACATGCACTCACAGGCACACACATGCACTTGTGCGCACACACACGCATGCACATATGCACTCACGCACACACACATGGACTCGCGCACATGTACACACGCACTCACACATGAACTCGCGCACACGCGCACTCACATGCACACACACACGCACTCACGCACGCACACACGCACACTCACATGCACACAGACACGCACTCACAGGCACACACATGCACTTGCGCGCACACACACGCACGCACATATGCACTCACGCACACACACTCACATGGACTGACAGGCACACACAGACACACGCACACATGCACTCACACAGGCACACACAGGCACATGCACTCACACACGCGCACACCCTGTATTTATCTCGAGCTGGTTTGGACCCGCAGGGCACGATGCCGGGGGCTCTGTGGTCACGGGGAGGCCCCGATCTCCCGGTGCCGCGCGGGGAGCAGCACAGCAGCGTGGACGCCCCCGACGCCCGCAGCTGCGGAGCTTTCACTATGACCTGCGCGGTTGTTGCGCTCGGAATCGATGCAGCACAACGACATCCTGGGCCCTTGGGCTCCTTTGGTCACTCAGGTCTGTCTGTCCCGACCCCAACTAAAATCGCGCCTCGGCCACGCCGACTGCTTCTGTTATTGCTTAGAAACGCCTGCGGCCTGCTCTTGTGACACATTTTCTCTCGTCTCAGAGCTCAGAGAGCCCGAGCTGGTAACGCGTGACTCGCACCGTCTCAGCGTGTCACTGGCAGGGTCACCGTGGCGGGGTCACCGCGGCAGCGCCTGCTGCGTTTACCGCAGGCGCCGAGCGACTCCTCCGGGCCCACCCGGGCTCAGGGGACTGACGCAGCGTTGGCTTCTCCACGTGACGGTCTTAATTACTGTTAATTAAGAAACTCGAGCCTATATACTGTATTTCTAAAGAATGCAATTCTTTGCCTGCTCGAGTGCCAACACTTGTCACCTACGGTCAGCCTTCTCCCGAAACCTTGGCCTCCAAGGCGAGGGCAGGGTCCCGAGCACGCGCACCGCTCTGCGGCTGCCCGAGCCGCGCCCTGGGCCGCAGCAGCTCCGCGCCGACACCGCCCCCGCAGCCCGCCCGGGCGCGGAGGAGCAACTGCACCCGCGGGGAATTCAAGGAGGGCCCCGCCCGCACTGGGTTCGGGCGGCTGCTACTGGAGTGTCGCAGGCAGTGACCGACTGGGGACCGGAACCTGCCCGCCGGCACATTAAACCAAGGCCCTGTTTGAAAGTGTTTTGGGAGTGGGTTTAGTTGTGGCTTGAGGGTTGGCAGGGGCGTCTTAACAGGGGGAAGCACTCGGATCCCATTTCACAAGAAAGCAATTCGTCATCTTACTGAATTTAGAGGAAAGCTAGTGGCCACTGGCAGCTCTTCCAGACACTTCATCTTGGGAACAGGACTTTCAGTGACCGGCCCACCGAGCCTTACAACCCGGAATAGGAAAATCATTTTAACAATCGTAATTTTAGGATGCTCTTTATCAAGAGTCATGAGAACTGTCTCCAGAGGGTACTGAAGAGAAATAAACCTGTCTTCTTCGAGCCTCCTAGTGCTGGTGCAGAAGATGCTACTGGAGACAACAGGCCACTGCGGTCCTGACTGTGTGTCAGTGTGCTCAAGTTCTGTAAGTTAATCTTTGCGTACCCTTTAAAAACGCTTTAAAAACCTTCACCATCTTCCCTGCACTGTAGAGAAAATACTTGCTTTTATCTTTCTGGCAAAAGACCAGTCTCCAGTCTGTAAATGGGGAAAGGAGAGACATGCAAGAGGAATGGACTGTTAGAGGCCCTGACAGATGGGGTGACATCTGCTTACTTTTTCTTATCCTTGTCTTTCTTGGTTTGCTGGGCCCCGGACTGCTGGGCCTGGGACTGCAGTAGCTGAGCTGCTGCCTTCTTCTTCTGGAAACTGTTCACCTCCTCCTCAAGCTCCTTCTTCTTGTCCTCTACCTTCTTCTTCTCTTCCTGGTGTGTCCGCTTTAGGAGGTCGAACTTCTCATGCAGCTGGAGAGAAAATGAGGAGGACAGGCTTGGTGAAGAGGATGAAATCTTACCTAAGCAAGCGTCCTTGGATCTGTCCAAAACACGAAGTACGGGTCAAGTGGCTGCACTAGCTTTAGTCGCAGGTGTGAAGGACCGTCTCGGCGACCTCCTGGAGGGGCTCGGCTGAGCCGCTGGAGAGCCTCCCTCGGAGTCCTAGACTCCTTGGGACAAAACGTTCCTTGAACACTTTTCCTGATAGTAAGATAAATATTCATTTTAAAAGGCAGAATGAAGAAGATAAAAATTTTCTATGATCTGAACAAAAAAAAAAAACATTCACTCTGTAGGTAAAAGTGGTTCTTCACCTCTGGTCCTTTTTCAAAATGTATAAAATACATTTACTTAGAGATACACACAATGACTACAGACACACACACACACACACACACACACATATTATTTAAATAATAGAAACATAAACAGTGGAAACAAAAGCTGGAAAGAAGGGAGGGAGGGAGACAGGCAAAAAATTCTCACTGGAGAATTCTAGATTTTTACCCAACATCCACGTGATTACAGCCAACAGCAAATAAGCCTCAGCTTTCCTTTCTCTGCAGCAAACCCATCTTGGGTCCTTGGCTATTCAAATAACCTCTAAGTTACAGTAGTTTTTATGAAGATAAATTAAAACAAGATGAGGAAATTATTTAGATACTTTCATGCAGAAATCTGTTGAGCTACAGGTCAAACACTTGAGATACCCCTTAACTACCAGCAAAAGCAGACGTTTTGCGCGCACGCACACGCTCAAATACAGTGGCATGAGTGTCACAGTGGAATTGCACACAAACTTGTAGGAAGCGGTTAACCTGGCCCGAGCACTGGCACGGGTGGGGTCAGAGGGACACGGGAGCAGGCACTGCGAGCCCAGCAAAGGGGACGCGTGGGCGCGGATGTGGGGGACGGGCTTCGGGTTGGACCACGTCCACCCAGAGTGCCGAAGGCCCCTCCACTGTCTAGTTCACTGAGTTGTCTAGCAGGCTAAGATAATAACAATAGTCCCAGAATCCCAAATCTCGCATTACAAGACTTGTAAATTGAGGAAACAGAGCTACAAAGACCACGTGATCAGGTCTGGAGACCTAAGATCTAGTTTTTAGTCTTGGTTTTGCTGCTAACTAGGTACATGACTGCAAAGATAGCTAAACCTTTGTGACTTTGTTTATCATCTGTCAAATGGGGATAAGAATATCCGATTCATTTTTCTTGCCAGGTTGGTACATCACTTGTTATAAAATGTATGTAGAGAGTACCCGGACCATCATGATGCCCTATGAATGTGGAGAATTAATAAAATACCTCCTTTATGTTTCTTTCCCTTGAAGGAGAACAGATGACTTACTTCTTTCTCCGCCTCTTTAAGTTCAGCTTCTTTCTCCTTCACTCTCATAACGAACATCTGTCTCATTTCTTCTTCTTTCTTCTGCAGTTCTCCTAGGAATTCATTCCGTTTTGCTTCGTATGTCTCCTGAAGACTGTTCAAAATCCACAAACCAAGGGCAGAGTCATGAAATTGCCTAATACATTTCAGCTCGTACAGTTTCTACCCAGTACTGAAGGGCTGCTGCCCAGCAGACGAAGGCACAAGGAAAACGGGCGGCGCCGCGTCGTTTCAGCCGCGCTGCGATCAGAAAGACCAGCGCGTCCGGCCCCAGAACCAGCGCCGCCCTGGAGGCGCGACCGGGGCCACATTTCACCTCACACATATTCGCACTAGGAAACCCGGGGCTGGCGGCCATTCAGGATTTCGGAGGAGGGAGGCGGCCTGTGTGGGCAGTGGAGTCACACAGACCTGGGGTAAATTCTGGCCACAGCGACTGACTGATCTGGGAAAGGCACAGCTTTCCTGAGCTGCCGCCACGGACACGGCCACCCGCCTTCTAGGGACATGGCTACGAGAATGCATGGGGCGAAGCGAGTGAAGCATCTGACACACAAATAAATCAGTGCTTGCTGTTCCCCTTCCTCACTCGTCTCCCTCCAGCGTCCAACAGGGAACAAACTAGAGACCATTGTAGAAAACTGTCGCTTTTCAAGTTACATTACCAACTGTAAATAGAGCAGAGAGTTTTATGTTCACTGTAAACCCCATCCTCCTCCTGTCTAAGAATTTCGAGCCCAGTATTTTACCTTGAATGTCACAACTCGGCTTCGCCTCTAAGTCAGAACAAACATATTTACAGAGAAATCATTTTGGTGACACAACTTAAGAAAACGCGTCCCCGCCCCCACCCACCCACGCACACAGAGAAACATTTGCTGACATTTTATAAGGTGCTATTTCTCTCTCTCTTGCAGTTTTCCTGGAACAATAGCTGTGTAGTGATCTAAGTCTGCAGTACCATCTGCCTTAACCTACGGACCAAACTCGTCCAGAGCGCAAACTGCAGACGGGGCCGCAACTAGGGAGGACCCGGGCACGGGCACAGCCGCCCCACAACACTCACACTGTCCACGTAGGAGGAAGCAAAGGAAATTCGGGGGGTGGGAGTTCGTGTGCATGTAGGTATATGCACATTTATGATGAATTAAACAATTAGTTCAGCATTAGGAAACATGTTAACTAGGTTGGTTTATACTTCTACAATTATTAATAACATTCTCATTAGTTTATTAAAAATAAGTTCTCCTGCCCTCAACACGGTCAACATTACCTGTTTATGAACAATCAAGTGTTTTGAATTCCCAGAGATAAGTTAACTTTCACATCATCTTATGAGGCGGAAACGAGTCTGGCCAACGTTAATGTTGGCTAATAGTATTAATAGCACCTTGGACTTGTTTAAGATCTATGGCCATAGAGGACAGCACTGTGTTGATAACAGAACTATAAAATAATTCATAAATATTATTTTGCTTATATAATAAACATTTCGTCACTATTATTTGGGTCAGAATTGCCATAGGCAGAGGACGACTTGTCCCTGCTATGAAATTTTATAGAAAACTCAGTGTTTGTTGATTTCAGGATAATGAATGTGTCTCTCTCTTCTTTCTAACGAGCAACGGAACACCTTTCATAGAAACACCACCCGAAATGTGTCCCAGAGGCCGGCGGTTTCAAGAGATGTTCTCCAAAAGAGGGGTTCCAGAGTCAAGGGCGTAAAGGGAAAAGGCTACATGTGTCTCCTCTCTGGAGACTCACAGCGTAGCGGTCCCAGCCTGGCCGCGCGTCAGGAACCCAGGCACATTTCACTTCCAGAATGCGCGCTCCTGAGCCCACTCCCGGAAGTGCTGATTTGGGATGACAGGCTAACGCAAAACAGTCTGTTTTTGAATGCTTCCCAGGTGATCTGGCGTAACTAGTTTGCTAACCACTGCTCGTCAGAAATGCTCTGAGAAGTCCTTCAGGAAATGAACCTGTTTAACGTGATTATCTTGAGAGCCCTCCAAATTGGCTTGATCACAGAAACTTCCACGCATCAGCAGGATGTACTTTGGGTAACGCCACCCAAGGTACTGAGAACTCTCACCAGGGGCCCATCCAGGCCCAGCCACAACCCGCCTTGCGCTCCAGTTCCTAGAGAGATGTTTTCAAACTATGAATTAACCACTACATTAAAAGCAAAAACTTATAAGAAAAGGGTAGAAAATACCAGAGTGTGGTGCAAATAAGAGTAGGTATTACTGCGTGAAATGTGTGTGTCTGGATCATGACGACGAACGGTTTTTATACTGAAGGTTTGGCCCAAACCGGGAAAGCCCTAGCTAGTCCCAGAGGAAGCCCAAGGAGCGACTTTGCCGGTGGTTGAGACTGGTCTCTGCCACAGCCTGCAAGCAGCTTCGACGTCCTGGGCGGGGCCCCGGGGTTTATGGCTGCTTCCAAAAGACAAGGGCAGAATTAAGTAATCGTGACAAAGACTGTTTGGCCTACAGAACCTGAAATAGTTACTGTCTGGCCCATAACAGAAAAAGCCCTTTTACTAGAATTAATTATCCCCTGATCTGGTCAGTTCCTCATTTTATAGAGGAAGAGACTAGGGCCCAGAAGGGCTAAGAATTGCAGCAGCAGAGCGGAGCCTCGAACCCGGACCCCGGGGTCCTGGCCCCGCCCCGGCCGGTGTGAGCGGAGGACGGGGGCGGATGAATTCGATCTATGGCAGCTCCTGTTGTTCTGTCCTTGTGCATGAAAAACAAATACTCTGAACTACCACAGACAGCCTTTCCACACAAAAACCATTTTCACCAGTTCAATAACCACAGAGTGGGTTGCATTTTGTGGTAAATGCATTTCAAGGTTCAATGCGCTAAACCTGTGTACACAGAAAGGCATCCTGTACCTGCCTCAGAAAGCAACATTCGTGTGGTTAAAGATGGTCGGTTTTATAAGCCCCCAGGGCAAGGCTGAAGGACACCAACCTGGCTAGAAGTTAACTGCTTGGTCGGCAGCTCTTTATCTGGGGTCCGCGTTTGTTCTCACCAAATACACACACGTTCATGGAACTCCACAATGACGGCACCAGGGACCAGCGAGACATTCCCAAACTCTCTCTGAAGCAGTTCCTAGCATATCAACCCCTCCTGCCCCAGTGGCAGCTCAGACCCAAGTGGACAGACTCTGCCCACACCGTGCCGGCGGCCTCTGGCTCAACAGCCAGCCAGCTTCCAGGCATCAGACTGCGTTACATCGCTAGCCCCAAAAGAGGAGGAAACAGTTTTTCCGAGGACTGTGCCAACTGGTAGAGGCACGTAGCCCAGACACACCTCACACCACTTCAGTTCAAATCCCCATTGAGAAACTGCTTGGGCTCCATCTAGATCATTCTCTCCTCTACCAGGAGCTGGTGAACCTGGCCTGGCAGCCTCGCCGCGCTGGCCACCAAGCCTGGTGTGGGCAAGGACAGCCCTTTCCACCGGCTCTGACGGGACTGGGCTGTCGCCAGTGCCCTAATTCTACATTCGTTTCTCCCTCCACGTGTGGCATCTTCATCAGTCGGCGATGTGAGCAAATGTGGATTTTCTAAACGCTATTCCCTTCCCCACTGATTAGCTGTTGTCAGCATTGTGCCGACCCTCTGAGAGCTAGTAAGAGTCCTGGGAAAGTAAGAGCCTCGGGAAGTTCCGCTCGTGGGGCAGAAATGCACGGGCAAGCGTGCTGGGCAGGCCCGGCCTGCAGACGCCTCCCAGGCCCTGCACCTCTGCGAAGGCAGCGCTGGGCCGGGCTCAGGGCCAGGCTGGGCTCGAAGCCCACCCCCCTCGCTCACTGCCTACGGGACCCTGGCCAGGCTGCTAACACTTTCGCTGCCTTAGCTTCCTCATCTGTAAAGTGCGGATGACAATAATGACATCACCTGCATCGGTTAGTTGCAACAATGCAAATGAAGTGGCTGTCACAATGCTTGGGGATGTATGCTGGTGACCGTCCCCCAGCAGGTCCCCCATTGCCACTATCTCAACGCAACAAGCATTTCTGTGATGCACAAGGCACCACCCTCGCCACCGTCCGGGAGACACCTGACTGCTGAGTGCCCTCGTACCTGAAGGGCTTGCTGTCAGGGTCAGTGTCCTTGAAGCCCATCTCCTCGAGCTTACAGCGTCGATACAATTCATAATGGTGGGTGTGAGTCTGTTCTCGCAAGTCCTCCATGTTGACGCGGATCAGCATCTCTCGAAGTTTCACGAAATCGCAGTGGTTTTCATTCTCAACTGCAAGAGACGGGGCAAGCGGGGGAGGGCTGTCAGCAACAATGTCACTGAAAAGCTGCAGTGACACTTCCAAGAGGTTGTTACCGTCACTCCCGAAATCTCTGAGGTCCCAAGGCCACCTGAAGATTACCGATTCACCTTAACATTCCTAATGGAGACAAGATTTCTGACGACATTGACCATGACGCTGCTCACGAGAACGCCGACTGCCGGCCCGCTCGGCACAGCGCTGGGAGGAGCTGACAAACACCATCCCTACCCTGCACGATGAATCTGCCAAGCGGACGCCGGGCTCTTGCTTCGTGGGTATGGAAGCCTGGCTATGATAAGCAAGGCGACCTCCCAAACAGAGGCGGCAGCGTCAAACACCGCGACACCTGGCTCCAGAGCCAGACCCATTTCTGCCACTCCGCGTGTCTAGACCATGCAGGTCTCGCACCCGCCTCATTTAATCGCGTCAGCGACACTGAGGAAAGGCGTCGTCTCAGCAGCCACCCTGCTTAACCTGCAGCACTGCCTGTCCTCCCTGCAAACGCACACGGGGTCCCCGCCCCGCCAAGGGACACACCCGCAGGCTGAAGACTGTGGTCACGTCCTGCAGTGCCAAGTACAGGTCAGACATTCTTGTAATTCTCAGATTTCCTGAAATAACATTTAATTAGAAGACAACCTTCCCAGAGATGACGGAGAGACAAGTACGCTCTCGTTTGTGAGAAGCTTTTTGCCGCTTTTTTACACTTCGCTGATGAAACTGGTTCAAACTCCTAGGGCAGAACTCTTTCCTATCAGGAATTCCCACTGAGTCTGCCACACGACCCAGCATCCTCAAGGGGCTGCCTGATCGCCGGGGGGCTCAGCAGCCGCTGCTCTCCAGGGTCTACCAGCTGATTGCTGCTTCTCTCTTCCTCGCCTCCACGACCGCCTCCCGCTGCCCGCCACTGTCGAGGACCCCCTAATGAGATTAGGGAGGGGAGAGCCCGTCCCGGCGTGCACGTACCCTGCACCACGCCCCAGGGGTACTGCCTGGCCTTGGCCATCTTGTTGCCGACCTTGACCTCCTCGGTGCTGCCAACCACCGCGAACGGGAGATGGACCTGCCAAGCAACAGGGACAGACAGCAGTTACCTTCCACCTCTGACGAAGACTGGCTCTCCACCAGCCTCCACGCTCTCCTGCCTTCTGCCTGGCAGCAAGGGCAGAGGCAGGAAGAGCAGAAGAGAGTTCGGTGGGCGTTACCTGAAACAAGCGCGATTCCAGGGCAAGCCGTGGGAGTCTTCGCGACTGCACAGTGAGCTCTAACGTGCGCCGTCCAGTGCGGCAGCCCCGACTCTGTGCGGCCACTGAGCTCCTGAAACCGGGCTCGCAGGACCAAGAAACTGAATTTTTCACTTTTAATTAATTTACATTTAAATTTAAAATGGAAGCAGTGCCGGGTGTGGTCGCTCGCATCTGTAATCCTAGCACTCTGGGAGGCTGAGGTGGGAGGATTGTTTGAGTTCAGCAGTTCAAGACCAGCCTGAGCAAGAGTGAGACCCC